TTGAAACATATTTTGTAAGATGTCTTGGGTTCTGTGACAAAAGCAGGCTCCTGAACAAACTCTATTATCTCTTAATATTGTTCAGAGCAGTTGGTCTAGCTTCCTCACCTTTGTTGTAAAGAATAACTTATATCCTTACTGATATCAATGCTGCTTTCATCTAGAACCTGGAAATGCTAAAAAAATTTTTTTTACTACAATTCCCAGAATTCCTTTGCTACCATGCCTTTGGCTTCAGATACACATTGTTCTCCAGATTGTGCCCTGTCTATATGACAGAAATGTGGCTACTATTTTCTGGGATTCTATGGAGGGAAATATTTTTTAAAAACAATCAATGAAAGGAATTACCAAAAAAAGAGAATTCTATTCAGTGTTATGATCTCCCCATCTCCATTGCATCACAATCCATCAACTGACAGGTATTTTATGTGAGCAGGAAATCAGCTTAGTCTTGATGAGTGTACTCATCTGGGGAGGTAAAAATAATTAAAAGCAGACTACAAACCATGTCATCTTAATTTGGGACAAGAATGCCAGTATGGGCTGTGAGCAAAAGGGCCAGTTTTGTTCCATAGACAGAGCTTTAGCAGTTCCATAACCAGACCAACTGTGTAACCTGATAAAGTGTCAAAAGGAGTCAGCTTGCAGAATTGCGAGTGAGAATACAGCAACCAGCATTTAGGCATTTTTTTAAAAAGCAAGGTTTCCGGATACATGCTGTGTTACATATTTCAGGCCCGTCAAATAACTGGGATGATATTACCTCCACCCAGCTGTTGAGCAAGCCTTAGGTAATAAAACTGTGTTGAAATTTTCCACCTGAACCAGAGTTTGTGCAAAGGTCTTTCAGTGGACAAATGAACAAGGGCAGCATTGACCAATACTGAGTAGCTCAATTTGATTTCCTAAAACAAGCTTGATGCCTTGTTCATTTGAAGTCCTTCCACATGGAAGAGCGACTTTTCTGGTATCATGTCAGCAAACCCCAAGTGGACTTCACTGACCTCTAACACCGATTAGTATTATTAATCCACAGAACAGACTGGGACTTCCAGCAATGTCCTGACTATGGCACAAAGTCCCTGCTGTAAGTGGTCAGATGTTCCTGCAGTGTTTGTTCCCTCTGTTTTTTGCTTAGCACTGTGGTGCTAAAACAGCCTTTGCAAAGTGTGCCAGGTGGGTACAGCCCTGCTGGCAGGGGTGCTAAAATGTCTCAGATCAATGACTTGTGATAATAGTCTCTTATTTCCATCTCTTTACAATAGAAACTCCATTAGGACTATACAGTTATAACAAAAACAAGAGCAATGTGGCATTGTAAGGACTAAGAAGTGTTGTTTGGCATAACCTTTCATGGACTGTGGACACTATTTGCTATATATTTCTACAAAATAGAACCTTGTCGTCTTTAAGGTGTTATAAGATGCTTTTGTTGCTCACTTTGGAGACTAGCATGATGTCTTCCTCCTCGACAGGGTTACACCAGCATTTCCAGAGATTAGCATCTCTTTCTTTCATTTGTTTATTTTATTTTATGATGTCATATCAATTTGTTATGTTGGTGTTTTATGATTATTAATTGTGTTTTGTTCTCTGTTGCACACCACCTTGTGTGGCCCTAGGCCAGATGGCATGGTATAAAAGTGTAAAAAAATAAATAAATTCAGAATTCTGGCACGGTGAAGAACTGGCAAGGTACAAACAGTGATTTTTCCCCTGAGAACTGACAGGTAAAGCAGAAGTGTGATCAGTGTTCCAGTTTTAAAATGCAATTTTATAAGTGGCTTCATCATCTGTTTTACAGAAGAAAAGCTAATGTATCTTGATATTGAGTAACTTAACCAACGTGGATTCAAGGTACTGGTTTGATTTGATCTCCAGTGGGCACATGCACACACACAATAAAAAAACCACCAAGCCCAGTTAAAACATTTAGAACACTACAGCAAAACTCAAAATGTCTTCTAATACAAAAAGAGACCTCATACAAACACAAAAGGCCGAGTGAAACACTCTCAAAAATCACTCGGAGAGAAGCCAAAGCTTTGGCTCCCCCCACCCCACCCCATCCTGCCAGGACCCTTTCTATCAGCTCCACTGTTTAACATTTTCTTCTTCCTGGGCTGCTGAATGCATTTCAAAACAAAGCACAGGGCCAAGCTCAACTTGGTCACGCTTGTGAGCTTTTGAAAAACAGACTTCTTTAAACAAAACAAACCAGACCAAAATATTTTCATGGCCTTCTTGCTTCTGTATACAGATTCTGCAGATTATATTTTACCATGTGCAAGAGGAGAAATGACACTGTGTTGTGTGATCCAAATGACACCACACATCAGAGGGGGTGGACACTGACTAGGACAACCTCAGGGCCATCTCCATTCAAACTGTCTTCTTGCACTCACCAACTTGTCCCGTGTTCTGTGAGAAGGAATTGGCACCAGGCGAGCAGGCACAGGCAATGACAATATTAATTTCTTTGGGGGAAAATCCAGTTTATGAATGTGGGCTATTGTGCAATTCACAATGCCAGGACATGGTCCAATACTGCTGTACAACATCATGTCCACATTGCCAGCAAGAGAAAGGATGCCAGGCTTTACAGAGCAAAAGGCAGCCTGTTTGTATACAACATTAATGGCAGCAGCCAAGACAGTCTACAGCAGTGGTTCCCAGCCTTGCGTAAGCCAGATGTTCTTTGACTACCTTCATTACTAGTTGTGCTGGCTGGGGTTTCTGGGAGTTGCAGCCCAAGAACACCTGGATTACCCAAGATTTGGAACCACTGGTCTCTTGTGCTCCCTACAATTCAGCCCTGACAATTGCTTTGTGTTTGATTTTCCCTTGCTTTTTGCACCCTTGATATTTATTGCTTTGTGTTTGGTTGAGAAATGGTTAGTCAATGAAAAAAGCACCTTGCTTTTTGCACCCTTGATATTATTCAAATCTGCAACAAAAATACTAGAACCCCAGAATGACCAGAGATAACATCACTATGTGGATGGGTTCCAAGACTGGTACCTCAGTTTTTATTATTGTGCCTTGGGGAAATCCTTCCAAGAGTCAAGATTCATGACAAAGTCCAGCCTCCTGACAAGACTGCTCTCGGTTTGTCTGACACACTCAGTCCTCCTCACCATACGAAGTGTGCATCCAAGAGGCAGTATAGGTGGTTTAGAAATAGCAAAATGGAAGTTGAATAGTTTTAACCTGGCTGCCCTGAATGATGAAAACAGATGCAATATATGCAATCTGATATATGCAATCTGCTCTATGTTCAGTGTTTCTTATATACTGGGCAGCTGGACTCTTGTGTATGTCTGTGGAGTAACCCTGGCAATACTGCTTGTGGTTTCCCTAATTCCCTCCTCCCCATCAATAAGAGTGCATATTCAAAAAGAGATACTAGAAACATTTCGTTGCTCTGTCTTCTAAATTACACTTTCATGGGCTGTGGACACAGATGTGATGACACTCTTTCCCAGCTTTCAAAGCAGACTTTTCTCTCACTCCTATTGCCCACATAGGCAGATTTAATGGGGTCACCAGAAAGGGCCTTCTTTGTGGCTGCTCCCAGATTGTGGAATGCTCTCCCTTGGGAGATTAGGTTGGTCCCTCCCTTTTGTCCTTTTGGCAGCAGTTAAAGACCTGCCTCTGTAGAAAGGATTTTAATAACTAAGGATTGAGTTTCTTCCGGATGCTACGCATATGTTCCTTTCAATGTTATACTAAGTTTTATTTTTAAAAAGTGTAGTGTCTAGATCAAGGGAAGTAATGGTAGCACTCTATTCTGCTTGGGTCAAACCTCACCTAGATTATTATGCCAATTTCTGGCCACCACAGTTTAACAGAGATATCAAGAATCCAGAAAATATTCAGAAAAGGACAACCAGAATTGCAAGAGGTTTGAAAGCCGAGCCCTGAAGTTGAGGGAAGTGACATGCTTAGCCTGGAGAAGTCTTACAGGCAATATGATAGTGATCATTCAAGTATTTGAAGGACTGTCATGCGGAAGATGGAACAGGCTTGATTTTTGTTTTTTGTTTTTTTTTGCAACATGAGATGATAGAACCAGAAGCAATGGATTCAAGTTAACAAGAAACAAGATTCTGATAAAACATTTAGGGAAACTTCCTAGCATGAGAGCCATTTGATGGTGGAACCAATTGCTTGGTAGACTCTTTTTCACTTTGACATTTTAAAGCAGAGACTGGGTATTCAGCTGATTTCCTACCCTGGCAAAGGGCTCTAACTGGTGACTCTTGGGGTCCCTTCAAGCTCTATAATTCTGTAATTCTATGAAATAAATAAATCCACAACAAAAAATGCTAGAAAAATTCCAGGATGACCAGAGACAACAACACTGTGTGGATGAACTCTTTGGCTGTCTCAGCTGAATGAAAATCTGTGCAGAGTTATTCTTTCCCTTTAAGAAGCAAAACCACAATCAGAGAGCAAGCCGACTGTCTCTAAAATAAGATACAAAAAACAAAAAACAAAAAACAAAAAACAAAAAACAAACCACTTCGGTGTTTCCTATCCTTACAACAAAGCAATAATGATTGTTGGGGGTTTTTTGCATACTTTGTACTATTGTGTTTGAGGCCCAATTTTACTTAACATGCATTTTAAAAATTAGATCTTATTTTGTTGTAGAGGGACCCACACAATAGTTTGCCTTCTCTTGAGGCAAAGAGAGTTATTTTGTGGTTTACTATCTTTACATCTGTATTCTAGCTCTCAGCATCTGCAAGGCCAAGTGGCTTCAAGAGCATATGGGAAGGAACACCAGGAGCTGGAATTGGCTGAACTCATTAGTTTTGTTTCTTGACATGCTCTTATCACTTTCTTTTAGACTTTATAAATGTTGTAAGTCACCTTCAGGACTCTGGTCAAAAAGTGGAATCTAAATGTACTGAATAAATCTACTAAGAATATAAACAAGTTTGAAAAACAAAAGAATAGTTTTGCACAAATTGTATAAAATTGTCTCTACCAACTTTTATTAAAACAGGCATACACATATAGACTCATTTAAAAAACAAACAACTAGTCTACACAATGGAATATGCTCATCTATGTTAAGGGATTCAAATCTAAGCCAACAGCTCACTGCAGAAATGTACTGGGTTTCCACTTGTATTTACCCTCCTCATCCTTTTTTTGTTAATTGTCCAGTTGTAATTCATAACATTATGTTAATCAACTGTATATGGAGGTGTTTGTGTGTGTGTTTAAGTGCAAAAGAAAACAAAAACATGAAAGCTAGATTTTTTTAAAAAGATGCTGGTCCTAAAGGTGAGTGTCTGCTATGGGTATTCTTCTCAGCTCTACTATCTGGGAATTAACCAGAGTGCTTCCATCCTGGCTGCCATGGCAGGACTCGGTGTCACTGATATGGAGGCCCGCACCTGAAACACAAAAATTAGCAGATAATTAGGACAGGAATCAGTGGATTTTAGTGGATGGCATGTCAGGCTAGAACTCAGGAGGCCTGGCTTCAAAAGCTTGGTCAGGCATCAAAGCACACTGGGCGTTGGCAAAGATAAACCACTTTGTGGACAAGTCACATCTTTCAAATGGCTGCCATTAGGCCAGAAATGACTTGGAAACAAGTAACAACATCAGCTGGGGGAGATTGGAAAACAAAACTGGAGCATATCCTGCAGATAATAATCCTGCTCTGTGTCTTCCCTCTGACATCGCAGTACTAATCCACCCTTTTTGCCTGGTCTGGATTTTATGTAAGGCCTGGTGCATTGTGGGCAATTTAAGGCCTAATTCCTGTTGAGTTACAGGGTCAATTTCATCAAGGGTCAGGGTATGTTGCTAGCATGCCTAACAGCAGGGTCAGCCTAAGGCACTTATTGCTTGAGGTAGAAAAGCACCATCCTTCCTCTTCAAGTCCAGATGCATTATACCCAAAGCCAGAAACATTATTTTGGCATATGAGGTAGAAAACTGTGTAAGCACCACTGAGCATCCGTGGATGTAAAAATAATATAATACCAAAGTAAATAGTTAACCATTTGCTGCCCTTGTCATGACACCCAAAATGAAATGAAAAAGTCAGTGTGCCCAATGGCAGGGCCAGAACTATGAGATGGTTTCAGCTGTTGCTTGAGGAGGCTAATTCTGTTGCTCTCAAAGAAGATTCTTCCTACTCAAACACACTGGATCCTAACAAAGTAAATATTAATTAATTGTTTCTAGTGCATCTTGAGTCTTCTCTTTCCTTCTCCCCAATCTCTTCTCTCACTCAGTTTTTACATTCACAAAATGTGCTTCCAAGTAATACAGAACACTTGCCAGGGACTTGAACAATTAACATCTTGGAGTACTTGGAGCATTTCCTAGCCGGTATGGCTATGCTGGTTGCGAATTCTGAGAGTTGTTTACATTTTTTAAAAATCAAAATTTTAAACAATAAAAATCTTTTCCCAAGCTCTCGATTATATGGTTTTACAGGTACAGTATGAAACTCTACTTCTGTTATATTGTCCTTTTGAGGTTTTAAGATATGTGGTCATTTTGTATATGAACATGTACTTACTTGTACACACACAGAGTTTTATCGATGGCTTTCAAAGCATAAAATAGGGATTAAGTGATAGGATCCCCAAACAAATTTTGTCAAACGTGTTCATTTCATCCAGTCTCTAACTGGATTAACTAGAACAACTTGCTGCAAGATGTCCTGTAGACGGTAACTTTCTAAGATGGTTTAAAAACTGTTAAAAAACTCCTAACACTTTCATAAGACTACAATTTCCAGGATTCTTTGACTAAGAGTCACTTAAGGAAGCATACAAATGATATACAGTACATATGTGGCATAAAATGACCTACCTAGTTTTCTTTTACTCCAGAAAATTCCACAGGGAAAGTGCTATTGCTCCTCTTAAGGTGCCATTTTTTAAATTTTTATAAGAACACAAGAGTTTGACAGGGAAGACAGCACTATTTCCTCTAAGGCTGTCTGTACCAGCATTTAGCCCACTATTTGGTCCACTATGGCTGTTTCGGTCCTAAAGACTGTCTTTGGTGGAGCAAATCAGCCCAGCCCCAGAGTGGTCTTATCGACAACATTCTGGTCCCTGTGAGGAATTTCACCTTCTGGGCTTTGGAATTTCTTTGGCAAAATACGCCTCCTCAAAATGTTCCTGAGCATTGCTTCAAGCCTCCTCCTTCTCCAAGTTGGATGGCTCTTTCGTCTCCTCTCCCTACCCACTGGCTACTTCCCCCTCTACTTCCTCTCAGACTTCATTTATATCCTTTCCCTCTAGCTTTGCTCCACTGGCACCCGCTTCCTTTAGGGGTTTCTGTCTTGTCCACCACCTGCTGCAGTGTTGCTCTGGCCTTTCTTGTCTCCCTTGGGGTATCTCTGCCTCCCTCTGTTTGTGCATATCCCAAGCCCTACTCTATTCCATCCCTAGATTACTTGGGATTTCTGGTGTACCCGGGACCCCTAGGGTTAGTTTGGGGCCTGATGACCTACCAGGGGTGCCTGCCTCAGTGACGTACACATGTATTAGGTATAATAATAATAATAGGTGTGTGCTGTCAAGTCAAGTTTGACTAATGGTGACACTTTCCAGGGTTTTCTAATTAGAGAACACACAGAAAGAGTTTGCCATTTCCTTCTTCTGGGACTGTCCAGGGACTGTGCAGCTTACCCATGACTACACAAGGTAGTACTTCTTCCAGGAGACACAGCGGGGAACCAAACTCCCAACCTCTGACTCCACAGCAAGGTATCTAAACCACTGAGCTATCAAGCCAGACTAACACACACACCTAACTTGTAATACACACAGCAAACACACACTTTTAAAATTGGGACCAAATAAAGCCATTTGGATGTGAGTATCCTAACGACCCTATTCAGCCTGGTTCAGCCCAGTCCAAGCCCAGCCATATAGACAACACCCCCCCCGCACACCCTGTGTGTGCTGTGTGTAGACTAAATCATTTTTTGAACTAAGACACTGTAGCAGTCACCCTGTCATGAATATTCAGCAGTGCATTTGCATGAACCAATAGGGAGCTGTTGGGAGGCGGGCCAGCTATATAGAAGGGGGCCTGTAGTAGATAGGGAGATAGAGAAGAGAGGCTTGAAGAGAAGGTTTGGGTTTTGAGGCAGAGAGAGAGAGTTTAGGGAGTGAACAGTCAGAGTATTATCTGTATTAAGTATAGAAGAGGTTAAAGGAAAATACTAACACTTTGTGTAACTTTAAGAATGTGCTTAAGAACTATTCCTGAAACAACTTGCAACCAATAAACCTATTCTTATTTCAAAGTTATGTACCGAATGGACCTCAGTCTTTCATAGGAAACAGAGTTTGTAAAAAGATCAACTGGTGGCAGCGTGTTAAAGGATGTTGTGGGATACATAATGTGAGCCCGTTGTTTGGTGAAACAAGCAGGGGCCACATGGTAAAGGTCACAGACACCCTCTGGTTTTACAATCATGGGGCACTGTAGCCTTTTATGAACCTTCAACACTGAATGTGTAGGCAACTTTCAGTATGTGAAGAGAAATTAAGCATTAAATTTGCTCCTTCTGATTCTAAGCTCCTCGCCCTCTCTGAACCTTTTCAACATTTTGTATCCATGAGGAAAACACCTGCATGGGGGAAATGGAACCTTGAGGGACTATTACCAATGTTTACATAATACCATTGATGGTCTTCAGCTAGAAGTAAAATTGCCCCAGGGAGCTTGGCCAAAGCCTGCACAAAGTAAAGGTCTCTTTGAACCAACATTACATCAAGGCGAAAACTGGTTGGTTCATGCAACACTTCTAGGGATTTTCTCTCTGTAGATGGCTTTCTAGCGGCAGGCCCTATTAGTATAATAGCACAAAACAGTTTCAAACAGCCTCTAATTACATTATTCATGTACGAAAAAGCAGGCAGACCTTCCCTACTTCATGCCCCCACACCCACCTCATTTCCTCTGCAAATGGCACAGACAGATTACTGTTGCCAGAGTGAACACACTGTGCTCTGGTCTCAGGAAAAGTAAATAAAGTATTAGGAACAATTGCCCAACCTCTGTTTGGGCATTTCAAGACTTGCCATTCCTATTTATTCAGAAGTGCATGCAAGCATAATTAAACATGGCAATGTCAAAAGAGATTAATGCCAGACATTACCTTCCAGGAAGACTAGTTACAAGTGACCAAAGGGTGCAGAGACTTGATTGTCGGAACTAAATGCTCTCTGCTGCAACTTCATTGGCTTCACAAGAGCTGCAGCAGCTTCTGAATCTGACTCATTGAATCCAGAATATACCTGCCCACAGAAAATCCAGTGTTGCCAGTTTTTCAGTTAGAAAGTAAATAATGAAATGTATATCAGATGGAAATATTAGCTTCATCCCTCCTTCCCTCCCTTGCTTGGTTGTTTGTAAATTTTAATGAATGACCAAATGACAGTATTCTGTCCTGCTCTCTAGTGACTTCATAGTAAATGGTAGCTGCAGAAAACAAGATGATTATGTTCTCTGAGAAGGAAAGGAGAGAATCTGTTCATACAGCTTGGAGTAAAGTCTGCTCTTAAATTAAGTATAGTTAAGAGCTTTTGTTCTCAGCAACAACCATGACTACTAGGACTAAAAGGTCAGCACAGCACTCCATTCCCTGACATATCAGGTCAAACATCTTGGGCCAGGAAGGAGATCCTTGTGATGTCAGCGAACCAGGGCAGGCAAGAGCTGGGAGGAGAGAGTTTTATTCCATAGTTTGCATCACTACTGCTGAGGACTGTACAGTAAGGAGTCTCATGAGTCACAATGCTGGTGGCTGTACCTGCCTTTTCCCAAATACAGTGGTGCCTCGCTAGATGATGATAATCCATTCCGTGAAAATCGCTGTTTAGCGAAATCATCGTCTAGCGAAAAGTGTTTCCCCATTGAAATGCATTGGAACCAATTTAATGCATTCCAATGGGCAAAAATCGTTGTTGTTTTGCGAAGATTGCCCATAGGAAAGCCGCTTTGTAAACCACCAATCAGCTGTTTTAAATCATTGTATTGTGAAAAACGGGTCCGAAAACACCCATTTTGCAAAGATCGCCCATAGGGAAGCCATTTAGGGAAGCTGCCAATCAGCTGTTTTAAATCCTCGTATTGTGAAAAAACGGTCCACGAAGCACGGACCAAATCATTGTCCAGCAAAATTCCCCCATAGGAATCACTGTTTTGCGAAGCAAAATGGCGGTCGCAAAACGTCATCGACATGCAGATTCATCGTTTTGAGGGGTAATTGTATTGTGAGGTACTACTGTAGCACAATGGCCCCAAGATTAGCACACCAAAAAGCCAAGATGAGGAGAGGAGCTTTGGGAAACAGATAATGGGTGCATGCACTTGACCCCATTGTGAAAAACTGGAATGAGGGTCTGGGTCT